AGGATTAAAAGAAAAGAGGGTGATGGAGTGTAAGAGAAAACAACTTAACAAGACGATAAAGGTACTCTTTATGTCTGACGGGGAATCGCCGCAGACGGTGCCGGACTTGCATGCTTCCGCTCATGTAAGTAAACATCTCTGTGACTCTGTGTTTGCTCTCTCCTAGGACTATACACGTCAAGCATTGGTGTAAAACTCACAGAAAATTAAGTGATTAATTTGATCTTAAGCTTAGTAATTTCTAATTGTTTGTGGTCTTTTTGATGATATTTGAGTGATTAATGAGTACGATGTACATTGTCTCACAAGTCTTGACTTCTTAATAACAGAGGAAATTTACAGGTAATATTATTATAAGTATTCTTACTTCTTACCGTAGGGAAGATTTTTTAGGGAAGATCTTTTAGGTTGCGAGAAAGAACAGAATATTGTCCCATAAAATAGAACATTATATTAAGGTTTCAGACTTCAGTTATGATTTTTTTTTTTTTTAAATCTTCAAACACAGCTTTTGAGTTGCAGCAGCATAGGTTTTCCCAAGTGCTGAGACAATGGGAGGGATTTAGAAGAAATAGAAGCATCAATTGGGTATCAACTTCCTCATTTCAAAGGAACTACTTAAAAAAATACATCGGGTAAAAATATATACACATGATTTCACAGTAAATAAATACCTATAATTTCATGTAAGTTCATTTTTTTATAAGTATGCTTCCTAAATCTTAGTGTCAAGCATTCGAGTACCCGTTCGGATTGGTCTATTCAGATTCCGAGTTTTCGGGGTTAAATATTTTAGCTCTGTTCACGTATTTAAAAATTTTGGTTTGGGTTCGGATCTTTATCCAGGTTTAGATAATCCATTTAAACTATTTTAAAAAATTTAAAATTCATATATATTTTAGATTTCTCAAAATCTAAAAATAAAATAATATATATATCTGATTCAGGTATATTCAGATAACAAAAATATTTTCGTATAGATCAGATTCAGTTCTGGTTCTTTGAATACCAGAAATTTTGAACTTATTCGAATATTTAATAAATTTTTATTCAGATTTGATACTACTTTTCAGATTGAATTCAGTAAATCTAATTTCAAATTCGGTTTTCTTAGTTTATACCAAATACATAAATTTTGGGTTAGGGGACTAAGGCAGAATTTTAATTAACAGCCCTTTATTAAAGCTGGACCAGAGATTATACGGGTCATCGCTGCTTTGACTGCTGATCCAGATCAAATATATATATGGTTTTTGACATAATTAAGTTCATAATAAAAATATGTCTCATAAAATAATTTTGTTGTTTGTTATTAAAAATGATGCTTATGACAAGAAGTGTTTTAAAACTGGAATCGGCTGGTTGGATCATGATTCTCTCTCTTCTAAACAATTTTGAGTTGTGTTAAAAACCAACAAATTCGAGATAAGAACTGGTCACTCGCTAAATCGATGGTCCAGTTTGATATTAAACCCTGATTTTTTTCAAATTCAAGTTCAAAAATGAAAAATTTTAAAATAATTTCATATAAACCTGTTTTGTTTTTAATATCTATTTTCATTATATTTTATATTATTTTTGAAATTTGCATTTTATTTCCATATCATTTTAGCTTCAAACAATGATAAAAGTCTTATAAAATAATTCTATAATTATATATATATACTTAACTTAAAATTAAATTAAATTTATAATCCAGTTGGACTGGTGTGATCATTAACCTAACTGCAATGTTAAGTAAATGTTCGGTTTGGTATTAAAAACATTGATGGCAAAGATAAATTAATATCATCCAGTTTATAAATAAATAGAAAAAAATAAACATTATTCCCAATAACAAAATATATACAATCTTAAATTTATATAATATCATTTTAAATTTAAATAAAAGTTAATTCATTTTATATACTTAATTTTCAGATTTTGATGGTGATTATTTTCTAACATACCAAACACTTTAGAATCTGTTAACACTTTAGGTTTATGCTAAGTAGAACTTTAAGTGATGGTTGTTATTTGATTCTAGGAATGGCCTGGAGCTAAGAAATACAGAGATAAAGCAGTGCCAAACACAGATTTAATGGAACATATTTTTAGTGGGGTTCATGTAAGTGGAGCAGAAGGATGGAGTGCTCAGCAAGGTG